ACAAAGCCATTCTCACCAACTCTGAAGTCATTTTAGTCCCAAATGGATAGATCTGTAAGATTATGGTTGACCTAAGGCATAAGGATGGCCAGAAGGCATTTCAAAACATAGGCTGAAATCTTATTCTGTAGATGTCACTGTCATCAGCTGCAGCAATTATTTGGAAATTACAAATTCTGATTCCACTCCCCTTGAAGATCCCAAGGCTCTCATTTCATTGTTGTTCACTCCTGAAGCCACTGAGCAGCAATGATTTGCTGGTGATGATTATGTCATCCCTGCTCCACACAGGGAACTGTGCAACAGGATTTCAGCCATTAAATGAAAATTGCCTTAGCCTTGATTTGCCAGTTCTAAGAGAAGCTTTATAGCTGTTTAGCAAATATTCAGATTTTGGGTTAAAGAAGACATATGGTTGAGGGTTAGCTACCATAAATACCTCTCCTTTTAGCTTTTGGTGTTTGTCATATGGCTGTTATGGTACAGAATTCTGAGACTGATGAAGGAGAACAGGTAGTCCCTAAGGTATGCAGAACTCAGACTGGGAAAGGTTTTTGGATTTTTTTTAAAAATGGCACCATAAACTGGGTTTATATATTAATGGTTTCCATTTCCAATTATTGAAACACATTTGCAATTTTTGCTCAATTTGTAGTATGGAGAACTCCTTATGCTTGCTTCTGGTACTGGTCTAGCCCCAATGCTTCCTATCCTTCAGTATATAACAGAAAATGAGGATGATGAAACATTTGTAACTCTAGTGGGCTGCTTCCGGACCTTTGAAAATATTTATATGAAGTCTCTTCTTCAAGAACAGTCCCGATTCTGGAATGTAAGGACGTTTTACGTATTAAGCCAGGTAATAGCCTAATAACAACCAAAGAAACCGTGGATTGTCTTTCTTATTTCTGGTTTGTTTCTCTCCTGCTCCTTTGTCAGCCCCCAATTTAGGATGAGCAACTAGGAAACAAGGCAGGAACGTGTTATGATTGTGGGTTCTGGCATCATGATGAGCCAGGGTTTATATCAACAGTGGGTTCACAGATCATGAGAAGGCAAGTTTCTGCTTGTTTCTTTCCTGTCCCTTTGGAGCAGAGTAGAGTTAGCCATAATTAAACTAAGGCTTGTCATGAAATGTGGATATGGTCTATATTTTCTGTAACTCTAGTTCATGTAATTGGGATTGAAAGTTATTAAAGCAAGAATAAAACTTTGTCCTGACACACACACACCCAATTCTAATAGAAGCCAAATGTACAGACTGCAATCCAGCTAAAATTAGTTATGACTACATTCAGCTGGGCTTGGGCTATTAAACAGCATATTTTTATGGAGTAGTTCACAAAAAATAACATAATTGTTACAGAATATATCTTCCTTTCTTTAATTTGGAAGGGGGAATAACCCATTCCCTCAGAGGGAACACTACCTGAATATCAATGGATTTCTCATACTGAACTTTGAGAGGAAGTTTTCTCAAAGAGAAACAGATCTTGGATATTACCAGAGCTATTTTAATAAAATTACTATTGGTAATATGTTTTTCTGAGATAATTTTGCAAATGTCTTATGCCTTTTTCTTCTTCAGGAATGTTCACTAGAAAATCTGCCATGGAGTTTTCGAGAGAACACACACACTGGTCGAATAAATGAAAATTTGATTAGGAGTATGTTGAACATGTGCAGAAAGCAACCTTTTGTACTGATATGTGGCTCAGTGGCGTTTAGTGAAGATATGGAGAAATGCTTGAAAATTATTGGTCTTGAAAAAGAATCATATTTTATATTTTAAATGAATTCAAATGAATAACTTTTCATTTTATTTTGTTATACTGTTCCACTCATGTTTATCTGTTCCATGTACTTATTTTTTTAAAACAATATTGTAAAATGAACAGATACTGTAAAATAAAGTGTACATTTAAGGAAGGTGGTGGGCTTGTTGAATCCAAACAAGACTGAATTTTTAATTTGATCTAATACAGTGGTGCCCCGCATAGCGACATTAATCCGTTCCGGATTAATCGTCGCTATGCAGAAACATCGCTAAATGGAACGGAAAAAGCCATAGGAACGCATTAAACGAGTTCCTCCATAGCGCCGCCATTTTCGCGCCCTCGGTAAGCGAGGGCAAGGCGCGAAAACACTTACAGCGGCCATTTTAGGCACCCGGCAGCCATTTTGGAACTGCCGATCAGCTGTTTAAAAAAACATCGCAATGCGAAGATCGGTAAGCAAAACGCTTACCGATCATCGCAATGCGATGTTTTACCCATTAAAACATCGCAATGGGATCGCGATGCGATGTTTTACCCATTAAAACATCGCAGTGGGATCGCATTAGCGATCTAAAAAATTAGATCGCTATGCGGATTCGTCGTTAAACGGTGCGCTCATTATGCGAGGCACCACTGTAATATATAGCAGAAAAAATCATTAGTGTTATTTTGGCAACATAAGTTACTTGGAGAGAAACATATGATTTTCTGGTTTTTTTTTAATTCTGTGAAACATTGTCTTCAACACGGGAAATGGTTATACATCTGCTTTACATGAGCACATTCCCAGATTCAACCTGTAGAACTATTATTTAAAGAGATTTCAAAAGTCGGACCAATGATCTAGCCCAGTGGTTCTTAACCTTTGTTACTCGGATGCTTTTGAACTGCAATTCCCAGAAACCCCAGTCAGGACAGTTGGTGGTGAAGGCTTCTGGGAGTTGCAGTCCAAAACTCCTGAGTAACCCAAGGTTAAGAACCAGTGATCTAGCCTACTGCAATGTAACTTTGTGGCAAGCAGCTGCAGTTTTTCCTCTTATCCTAGGGTAAGGATAAGTGACCCAAATCAGACTGGGAATCTGGTATGCAAGTAGTGGGGCATTAACCATTAGTTCTCCTTGGTATCCCAGTTGGATTGGAGGAGGGGCACAACTTCCATTTTTATTGCCAGCAGGATATATTGAGAAATAATTCACTTTTGACAATAAAAATTGCAAAGATAGATTTGGCGGACAGCCCACACGTCACTCATGTCAGTTATTTTAGAGCTCTAGTACAGGAGCCTATGACAGGACAGGAAGGGCGGAGTCAAGGGAACTGGGATGCCAGAGAAGCAGTTAGAGTGTGACAGAGAGAGTTAGGAAAAAATGGTGAGGACTTTAGACAGAGAGAAGACTGTGAAGTGGTTAGACAAGATATTGGACAGTTGGTTAGTTAGAGAGTATCAAAGAGTTAAAAGGAATTGGAAGTACATTGACAGGCAGAAAATATACTGAGATTTTGATTAAAGCCAATGAATACAAGCAATTGTACATGTAATCAAATCCACGTTTAATGAATGAATGATAATAGAACATCCATGATTTTCCTTCTGTGATTCACTTATTTATCCTTAAATAAATCTTGTTTTATTTGGCAGCAAGTGTGTGAGATTCTTAATAGATATAGTGAGGATAATATCCTCTGGTGGCAGCGAAAATGTGGAAAGATACAAGTCGTGTCCGAAGGTGAACTTGTGTGAGGGACAAAGAACACAGGGGTCACTGGGGGGTACGCGACAGTAGGCATCCATTAACACCATAGTAGGCTGGCTTGGTAAGTGAGCAGAGCCAGGGGTTATGAGTTTGATTACCCACTCTTCCTTCTGCAAGAAGAGGCAGCATGTGTGACCTCGGCAATGCTACACAATCCCAGAGCACCACCAGAAGAGGGGATTGGTAAACCACTTTTGAGTACTTTTTATCCTGGGAATGGTCACTGTAACTCTGAAGCAATGTGATCATGTGCAATTAATTAATTAATTAATCTATTTCCCCCATCCTAGGATCTCATGCGGAATTGGATTCCCTGTGCTTATTGCAAAAAAAGAAAAAACATGTAGCTTTTATATGTATTCAAATATTTCGGCATCTGGAAGCTATTTGCATAAATAATAATCATCACCATGTACCATCAAGTCAATTCTGATTTATGGCGACCCTTTTCAGGGTTTTCTAGGTAGCGAGTACTCAGAAATGGTTTACCATTCCCTTCTTTTGGGGGCACTCTAAGACTTTGCAGCTTGCCCAAGGCCACACAGGCTGGCTGTATTCACAGGCAGCATGGTGGAGAATCTAACAACCAGATACCACTGAGATGTCCAGAGCATGCTAAATCTACACTATGCTGAGAACTACACCACATTGCTCCTGTCATTTCTTCTGCTATTTGAGGTGCGCCAATAAAAAGAAAGATTGTCTATAGATATGGTGCAACTTAATTTTTAATTTTTAATTGTTTTTATTCAATTTTGTTGTGAACCCTAGATGGGTGGGATACAAGTTTAATAAATAAAAAAAACAAATATATCTTAAAAGTCTTAGGAACTTGGAAAACATTTAATTAATAACAGGGTGCAACCACACTGACAAGCCAACTCACAATCATCATCATCATCATCATCATCATCTTCTTCTTCTTCTTCTTCTTCTTCTTCTTATTCTTATTCTTATTCTTATTCTTATTCTTATTCTTATTTATTCTTATTATTCTTATTCTTATTATTCTTATTCTTATTCTTATTATTCTTATTATTCTTTGGTTTAGGAGATCAGACAAAGATCAGTGTCCACACTGGCCCTCAATCAGATGTGACTTGGTATGCACCCACAGGCCCCCTTCCTTTGATATCACCCACCTGGCAATCCTCAGTTCTTCTTTCTTTTTTTGTATGTGTAGAGATTATTTAGCATTAAACTAATATATTAGTGCAGTGATAAGGTCATCTAACACTAAACATGATAGTTTGTTTTTTAAAAGTTAAAGAACATACTCTGTGACAACTAAGGGGAAAGAACACAGGCTTCAAAAAAGTAGAAGTCTCAAGCAAAAGAGAAAACCACAAATGCGAGGCAAAAAGGACCAGGCATTAGCCTTTGCATCGAGCAGTTATTGAAATTTATTTTGAATTTACCCATGCTAATTACAGCACAAATCCTGAAGTATTTATCAACGTAGTTGCAGCTTAAGATAAAAACGTGTGTCAGTATAACCCCATGGAAATTACATGGAACAAAAGAGATACAGAATAAGCAGAGAACCAAATTATTAATTTCTGAAAGGATGATAATAGAGTGAGGAAAAAGTTCTGCTGTTCATCCGGAAATGTTAATATCTCAACTAGGTAACCTCGAGTCTTCCCAAACAACCTGAATCTTTGCAGATAATATGGGCAGGGGAGGGAAGATACGATAGCCATTTATCCTAAAATCTTATTGGCAAACACAGAAATAATCTTGCAGCCGGAGCTGTTCTTCAGAGAGACTATAACCTTATTCAGAGATCTGAATGCTCAATTTCCTGACCAGTCATAGAAGGGGGTACCTACCACTACCCCCTCTGTCTTTGCTTTCTTCACACAATGATTGAATCAGAAGAAGGCTTAATCGTTTACATGTGTATGTATACATACCTATTTACCCTAGCAAAGGAAATAGCTTGGAAGAGTCATTTTGGAAAAATGGCTACCCTGTCCTCTTCTGCCTCTGGTCATCCTTTTCTAGTTGTTGCTTTTCAGATAGCCAGTTAGATCTGCTTGTCTCACATTTGGAAGTGAGAAGGAATGACACCAGATGTTAAGGAATACAGATACACATTTCATCTTACTTCTGAAAAGTAGAGGTAAGGGAGCATATATACATATATAGAGAGAGAGAGTACTGACAAACTTCCTTTTCTCTTATGGCTTCTGTGTCTTTAATGGCTACATAACTATTAGAAACTCAGAAGATGTATCTGCATACCAAGAGAAGCTTCACCTATTGCATTTCTGCCTGCCCCAGAGCCATTAAATGGGTGCACATCTTTCCTGGCAAAAAGACTGAAAAGTGAAAAATTCTAAAGCGGGGGGTGATTCATGTCAAATACAATGGCAGGTTCTGTTGGGATCATTTCAGGAGAGAGAGAGAGAAATGAAACTGAGAAAAGTAAAACTGCTCACATACAGGGTTTGGTGAAAAGACTGAAGAGGGCCCATGAGGGCAAAAAGTAGCCAGAATAGATAGATATACATAGGAAAGACACTTCTTGTGATAACTAGGTATACATGTATATCTAGTCCGTATATGGGTACTTAAGAAGAAAGACACTTCTTGTGATAACTAGGTATATATGTATATCTAGTCCATATATGGGTACTTAAGAATGAGAAGGGACGTGGTGGCGCCGCGGGCTAAACCGCAGAAGCCTGGGCTGCAGGGTCAGAAGACCAAGCAGTCGTAAGATCGAATCCACGCGACGGAGTGAGCTCCCGTCGCTTGTCCCAGCTCCCGCCAATCTAGCGGTTCGAAAGCATGCAAATGCAAGTAGATAAATAGGGACCACCTCGGTGGGAAGGTAACAGCGTTCCGTGTCTAAGTCGCACTGGCCATGTGACCACGGAAGATTGTCTTGGGACAAAACGCTGGCTCTATGGCTTGGAAACAGGGATGAGCACCTAGAGTCGAACACGACTGGACAAAAATTGTCAAGGGGAACCTTTACCTTTACCTTTAAGAATGAGAAGTGAAAAGTTCTAAAGAAGAATAGGAAGAGGCATGAGCCATAAGAACACCAGCAGCCAGAAAGTTCCAGCACCTTCCTTTTAAGAAAATGGTAAAGTTGTTGCTGAGAACTGCCATCCCTTCAGAACCTCCAGATGCTCCCCAGCTCCCTCTGGAGGCCTCACGGGATGCCTAAGAAGAGAGTGGAATGGATGTGTGGCCCTTACGGAATGAACAAACGTGCTTTTACCCTTTCCTCTTGGAAGGCTGTGTTGGCTCCTGGTAATGCCAATGCTCTTCAATGCCTCTGTTTTATAACTTTTAACTTTTTGCTTATCTATATCTATCCAAAACATGATTCTGTACTACATAAGACTAGGTTACTATATCAAAATATTTCAGTGCTCAGAGCTTTTAGATGACTTTAAGGCAATTGCATCAATGAAGCTGTGATTGCATATTTTGAAAAATACATTGGGAAGATAAGTTAGAGGGTGGTTTTTAAAAAATTTAAAAAAATAAAAACACCTTCAA